ATTGACAACGCATGTAATTACGAGCTGATTATTCGCACTTCAAACAATTCTTCATTTAGACTGGAGGATTTCCTTAAATAATAGCTCCCCCTGGCTGCATTTATCTATTTGTGTAGCTCATTAGCTATTTGGCAGAGAAATCTCAAAATGCCAGCTAGCAGCCAGGGCAGTTGAACCGAATGAAACGAAGACAGAAAGTGCTTCTGGAATTATGCCATCTATTCAGAGAAACTCTTGGAGGATATATTTATTTCAAAAAGTGCTCAATATATTTATACACATCATCTGGATTGATTGATTGATTGATAGATTGGTGCTGGGAATCCAACTCAGGACCTCCCACTTGCCAGGCAGGTGCTGTGCCACTGAGCTATGCCCCGGCCCTTGTCTACTTACTTTTAAACAATTCTATGAGTTTGCAGTCGTTTCCTTGTTGAAGTGAGGACATCGAGGTTCACAATGAGTTGTCCACCCTCATTCACCTAGTCGGTGGTTAATTTGAGACTGAAACCATTGTCACCTAAACCTATGCTCCATCCTCTCACTGTACCTGCTGAGTGGGATGAGTCTCCTGTCTGATTATGATTAAACGTTTACCCTAATTGCATTGTGGCCAATTGCCCTAGGGGACCTATTAAAAGTCTCACGAGACCTATTAGTAGTATTCCAAATATTGGAGTGTTAGACATACTGAGATTTTAGGCAAGCTTCTGCTTTATATCTACTCTACACAACTGGCCCTTTCATGTACAGAGTGGGTGCAATAAGTATATGGGTCCACAGATTTGATTTGGGGTGTTCAATGAGATTATAGACCCGTGTTGCTCTAGGAGAGGGCATATACTAAGTGCTTTATATCGTTATTAACCTTTATCACTAATGTCAGTGGGGCTGTGGCTAACTGGAGGCGTACATTTATCCTCGCTGGGCCGGACGTGGAACCAGGAGGCTAGATGGTGAGACCTTGCAAGCTAGGGAGGGAAATGACCCAGTGGAAAAGCAGTGTGTCCCTCCATGCCTTCCCTCCTCCAGCCCGGCCCGCCTTCCTCTTTCTCCGCACTTTCCTGCAGTAGTCATTTTATCCTTCTACAGTCCAAACAGATTACTGCATTAGGCGGCTAATGGGTCCCTTCTACCTCTTAGAATGCATGATTTAGTTTTTCAGATTATTAGGCATTAAATAAAGAGGTTCACGGCTCATTGGCCGGGAGAGAGTGGCTGGGAGAGGAGCTGCGGTCCCCACTTTGGGAACGTTGCCCCTCCCTAGTTAAAGGTGGCCTCCCACCCCCCACTGAAGCGCCACGGACTTTTAACAAAATGGCAGGAGGGCTCTCGCCTGTGTGCAACAGCACCTCCGAAGACACCTGGCAGCCCCGTCTCTTCAGACCTTGCCTTCTCTAGCAGTTCTACGAGAAAACAGATTCACTCTTACAAATGGGACCCTGGGTTAGTACAAGAAATGTGCCTTTGTCTGCCCTCCACCTTCTAATCCTTCACTTTTCTTCCCCTCTTTGCTTGGTAGTTACTCTCTGTTTTGGTTTAGGGACATCCAGGTTCTCTAGGGATGTGATAACTCATTTGCAGACTTTTGTAGATGTTGTTTTAAAATTTTTGTTATTGTTGTGGTTTGTCTTTTGAGACAGGGTCTTGCTATGCAGTTCAGGCTGGCCTTGAGCTCACTTTGTAGCCCAGCCTGGCCTTGAACTCTCAATGATCCTCCTGCCTCAGCCTTCTGAGTGCGGGATTACCACACCTGGCTCTGTTTTAAAATTTTAAACCCTAAAACATTTAACAGTTCTGTTAGTTAAATCCACGGGATGCTTTGTAGTCCCCGGTTCCAAACACTAAGCTGGGCTTTCTCCATCTCTTCATTATGGAGAATTCTTTGAGGGAGTTGCCCTGTGTATTTTGAGATGTGTAGCATTATAATTGACTCCGTTCCTCAAAGTGGCAACCAAAACCATCTTTAGACATTGCCAAATACCCACTGGGGGCAGAATCCCAGCTGGAAACCGGTGCTTTCCCACCTGACCCAGGCCTTCCCAGTGCCTCTAGCTGCCCCTTCTTATTTGAACTGTCTCAGATCCTGCCAGTGGGTGGGAATGGCTTCCACGGGCCTCTCGTTGCAGTGTACAGCAAGGAAGGATCATGCAGCGTTCTGCTTCTCGAAGGAAGTATGAATCATCAAATTCTGAGCCGGGGGCTTTGTGCAGAATAGGCTGGATAATTTTAGTTATTGAAGGATTGAGAGTAAGGTAAATATCCTGCTGTTACTACCTTGAACATATTTCTGTTAGAGTTTGTCATTTTTACCCACAATACCTAGGTATTGTAGAACCACAAATGTCCCTGTAGGTTGTGTGGGCTCTAAAAGAGCTTTGACATTTAAATTTTATTGCTGCCTTAGGGAGTGGATAGAAACTGGTTTAGGTCCCAAATAAAGGAGAAATTAGGAGCAATGCTAAGCTTAGGAGTGTACCACAAAAATGATAACATGTAATGCATATGTTCATTGGCCAGATTTAGTTATTCCACAACGTAGGTATACTTCAAAATGTTGTATGAAGTGGGAACATGTATATTTTATCTGACAATGTAGAAAATGAAGTAAAAGAATAAAAAATTAGGAGAGGAGATGAGAGCTGGCTTTCCAGTTGACACTGAGATTGATTCTGTGAGTTTGCTGTGGAAACATGACTGAAAACTGCAGACCTTACTGCTAGGTAAAAATACTTTATCACTGGGAAATAGGTGAGCTGGCATATTTTGTACTGTGGTAGAACTAGGGAAGCCAGGAAGTGTGGGTCACTCAGAATGGGATATGTAAAAAGAGTTCTGGTTGTGATACCATCCGAATCTACTTTTCAAGTTAACAAGATTCTGGATAAATCTAAAATGCAGCACATATTAGTCAGCTTTCTGTTACTGTAACAAGTACCTGGGATGACCTACTTATAATAGGAAAAGGTTTTGTTTTGACTCACAGTTTCAGGGATTTCAGTCCATTATCAGTTGACCCATTCTTTGGGCCTATAATGAGGCAACACGTCATGTTAGAAAAGTGTGTGGTGGAATAAAACTATTTACTTCATGGCTGGAAGGCAAAAGAGAGAAAGAGGAAGGTTCTGAGATCCCTTTCCTTTCAAGGGCCTGACTCCCAGGGGCCTAACTTCCTCTCCTTAGGCCCCACCTCTTAAAGATTCCATGGGCTGAAGACCTGGGACTGACCCTTCAACTCAAAGGCCTTTGGGGCATATTTAAGGTCCAAACTATGTCACTGTGTTTCAAGACTGAAAGCTGAAGGACAGAAGGGATGACTCCCAAGTTCCTGTGGCCCAGCAACGGAAGCCTTTTGCCACTGTGAACTCTACATCCGCAGGCGCAGCTGCAGGGCGGCCATGCAGTGTGGTCGTGCACGCTGCGGGCTAATGACAGGAAAGACAGAAAGCCCCCAGACTGTGGGAGCCTTGGGACACTTGTGGATCCTTTGGTGATGCCTCATCTGTCAGGATTGCGTATATTTGCTTTCGGAGATCAGTGGTGTGCCACCTTCAGGTAGGAACTCACCCTTTCCGCAGTAATGCAGTGTAAATTCCACAGAGGCAGGGATTTGAGTCTGGCTGGCTCACCATTGTCCCCTCAGCCTCTAGCCCTGCACCCGGGACACTCAGCACATCTGCATGGAATGAAGAGTAGTGTCAGAACTCATTCCCAGGCCAAGCAGCTATGTAAGTCACCAGGAGGTTGGACACCATGCTTAAAAAATCAGTATACATTTTTTCTGGGCCCTACCAGTGTACTTAGTGGAAGATCTGACTCCCTTTGACTTACAAGTCACCAGTGGAATGTGTTGGCCGATGTCTTCAGTTACTTTATGTATTTTCCCTGCATGTGTCAGGTGTTCATGGTGAATATAATGCAGCCACACAGTGTCACTGTCACAGTCGCACTCAGAGTCCCATTGCTCCTGGAAGCCCAGCACGGGGGAGGTTTTGGAATGCTGCTTGCTATATCTATAAAATAAATGAAATCGAATTCTTTGGGTATGAGGTGCAGCTTTTTTATTATTCTACTTTTAACATAGGGTTTTTTAAGTCTGGAAAATTAGAATGAACCATTTTTGGTATTTACTGCTCCAAAGTTAAAATTTAAAAGTTTGAAATACTTGTGTATTAGTCCTCCTAAAATAACAGTAAAAACCCATATTAGGTTAATATAAATAATATTTTCGTGAAAAATAACATTTTTCCAAAACAAAAAAAAAAATCCAATGAGCAAGCATGGCATCATTTTATGTTATTTCTAAATCTCTTTAATGTTAAGCTTAGTTTGCTTAATGTTTAGCTTAACGTGTAGCTGTATCTGCATTCAGTCAGTTTTGTTGTGTTGTTTTGCTGAAGAATATAAAGACAATGGCCTCCCAGGTATGTACTTAGAAATGAAGAAATAACAGCCACTCCACTGCTTTTTTTTTTTAATGTTTCTGAGGCTCGAACCCAGGGCTGTAGGTGCACTCTGCTGCACCCTGTCTTGGACTAGCCTTTTTAGGTAATTGTGGGTATTCTTTTTTGATACTACACCAAAATTCAAGGGCAGTAGTTGGTTCCTCTATGGAATCTGAAACCAGATCAGTTAAAGTTTTATACATACGGGTGTTTTTTGTACTTTGAATCAGTCTTTTACCCATCACAGTTCTTTTTTACACAACTGTTGTTTTCATGAAATTATATAGATCTTCCAAATGTTGGCACAGTTCATCATATATTTTTTTAAATAATCACTTTTGTTAATATCACCCCTAGTGTCAGTAAAAAAACGCAATTTTAAAGCTGTTCAGATCTCTTTGGACAGATACAACTTTTCCACAGCTCTGATATGTATTTTTCTTGTAAGCTCACATTTCATCTTTGGCAACACATATCAATTATTCTCTCTCCTAGATTCTGTGCTTTCTATTCCAGACTTACCTGCTTGAAAGACAAATGCCCAGCATGGCTCTTGGTTTTCCCTCCTCAAGCTCAGGTGTGTGAAGGATCTTTATCGTGAGGAATCTGTGAGATAACAGAGAAGTTCCTGTCGGTGTGGTGGTGGTGGTCTATGTAAGAGTGCGCTGTTCCATTCTGGGCTTTCTTCCTGGGTTCTCTTCTCCTTGAAAAGAAATGAGACCTTGGCCTGGGGCCAGCATCTGCATGACCTTTTTAGATGGATATGCTATTTTTCTGATAACAGTTTCTTCTCAAATCTATTCACTGGAGCTGAGGAAAGGAGGGGATGTCTACAGACTCTTCTTTAGAAAGTAAAATACAAAAAGGGATGGGTTGTTAAAAAAAAAAAAAAAACCAGGGAAAGAATGCTTGGGAAGAGAGGCAGCTCTTTTGAGCGCTTTTTTGTTGAGAGGCAGATCTATCACAAGGGGCTCTGGAGGAGAATTCTGGGGCCTCCTTTTCCCTGTCCTTCCCTGCCGCACAGGCCATCTGGGCTTCCGTGTTCTGGTTTCCTGGTGCTAAGTCTTCTTGGGTCACTTCCCTGACACCGGCTCTTCTGCTCTCTCTCCCCTCCTTCAGAACCCCTGTGATGGCACTAGCACATCCAGGAAAATGTCCCTCCCTCCAGGCCAGCTGCCAAACACCTCATTCCCTCTGGCCCCTGAGCATGTTTTGGAGCCTGGCGTATTATGCACACGATGTGAACATCTTCAGGGGCCTCTACGTCATTACAGTCCTTTCCCAGTCCTGGAACATTTCTTCCCTATCTTCTGTGTTGGGTAAACTCGTCCTGTGATCAGCACCTCATTGCAGAAGGTGTCCCTCGGTTTCCTGATACTTTCTAATCTGCCAAGGCCAAGGCTGGCATGTGGACCCCCACATTGGTACCTACACCACGGCAGGGCATCTGGAGGTCTGTTTCCCTACGAGACTGTGAACCTTACCTCATTAGCCTTCGTTTCCCTCAATGCTCTCGTGACGGAAAATAGAATATCAAGAAACAGCACTGGATTGACGTGTGGGCACAATTGATCACAGGCCATGTTTACATACCATTGAATGAATGAATGCTCAGTGTCTTCCATGTGATAATGGCATCACAGTTATGTGGGCTGATAACAGGTTTAGGAGTTACTGAAATACTTAGAGGTCTTATGTTATAATGGCAATAACTCACTGATCACATGGTTCATGCAGAAAATGGGTATTTATCTAAAGAAAGGTAGTTATGACAGAATGTTAAGTATTGGTAAATGTTGATGAAGAATTTCATTCAACTTTTCTGTAGATTGGGCATTTTTCAAAACAGAAAGTGGAGAGGGATGAAATATCAATGTAGAAGAATGTCCAAGAAATGTCGGTGGGTAGGGAATAACGTTCCCGTTGTTGGAATTCTCATTGGCTTCTGTGGAAACATAACTCTAGCTGTTGGTTAGCATCATTCTGTGTGTTTCGGGTGTAATGAGAATCCTCTGTGGGTTCACAGTAGGTGCACATAGTACTCTGCATTCTCTTCCCGCTTCCGGATGAGCGTAGGAGTCTGCAAGTGTAAGTGGTAATGTTTTGAGAACAGGGAGCTTTCAGTGCTGTGTGTCTGGTAGGGTCGTCCCAGCATGCTCCCATGTGAGGTTGCACTGGCATGTTCCTGGCCCCTTTCCATCCCCTTCCTTCTGGGGCTGCAGCCGCTCTCCAGGAACCAGGCTCTGTTTTCAGTCATCAGACCGCTGGTATTGAGGTCAGCTGATACCACCAGGAGACTCTTATCACCACGTGACCAGTCATGCCATTTGACTGAAGAAACTATCCACGGTTTTTTGACCCTGCTGACCTTGCTTCCCAACACCATTGTCAGGAGAGGATGCACTGCCCTTTCTTGGCCTGTAGCAGGGGCCTTAGCTTGTGCATATCCACCTCAGTCCCTTAGATCTGTGGAAGTAACCTGTGTAACACTTTCACGTCAGCCTCTCAGAAGCTGGAGACTCCATCCGTTGGGGTGCAGTGGTGGAATCTCTGGTTGGGAGATACCTAGTGTGGTTTCCCATCTTCTTCCTGACGTCCCCCATGGCTCTCCTCATGCCTGGCCAGTGTCTGGGTAGGACCCTGTCGTATCCACCATCTTCACTTGCCTTTACAGTTGGGGTGCCCTGCCTGCGGGGTTGAGCTGAGGTTGAGGGTGAGCTAAATCATTCCTCCCACTGCTAGCCCACGCCTGGAGGTTCTGGGACCAAAACAAGATGCACCTGACCATTCTTCCTTGCCTTCCAGGAGCCTGAAGCCCCTGTTGGAGCCGTCCCAAGACATCTTGGCTCCCAGGCCCGGGAGGTCTTCTGTGAAAAGGAGCCGAGTCCCCTCATCCTGGTCCAGGTACAGCCTGCCTGTCAGTAGCCCAGCAGATGCTAAAATATGTTGTTCATTTTAACCTTGGGTTAACTGACGAGTAGCCTTACATTATTTCCCCCGTGTCCTGTCCTGTCCTGTCCTGTCCTGTCCTGTCATTTCCTGTCTTCTTCCAGTGCTGGGGTTGGAATCCTAAGCCTCAGGCGTACTCAGCCAGGGCTCACAAACTGGGCCACACCCTCAGCTCTGACTCCCTTTTTAAATTTTCAGTGGGAGTCCTTTTTTAGACTCATTAACTCCGAAATTCTCATGGACTCAAGGAAAAGTAGGGTTGCCTGGCACTTCTGTGTGTCTTACATTCTTCCATTTCCTTCGGACAGAACTCAGTATCCTTGGGCTGGCAGGGCTTCCCGCCCGGAGACCTGGTCACCAGGGCGTGCTGTGGGGCTAGGGTCAGCCTGAAGCTCCCCATTCATCCCTGGGCAGTGCCGTGTCTCTCTGCTCTGAGCCTTTGGCTCTCCCGTGAGGTGCGGTGGCAGGGATGCACGGTGCTGCCTTTGACTCCCGGGCCTTTGCATTGCTCAGAGTGAAGGGCTGGCTCCTGTTCCCCTTTCCTTCCTGCTGAGAACTTGTTTTGCTCCAGTTCCTCTTCCTCTCCCCCTTGGCTTTCACCCTTTCACCCGAACATTCCGCAGTGGCTCGTTTGGGGGCTGTAACCCTGTACTTAGGTCCTGAGATTCCAGCCTTGGGAGCCTGAGGCTCTGAGGTCAAGGTTGGCCAGGGAGACTCTGTTAATGGCCCCACCCCTAGCCAGAAGAGTAGCTCTGGTTTTACCTGCTTTCTATAGTTAGGCTTGGCATAAGATAAGGAAAAAAGGGTTTCCCTGTAAAAATACTTTTAAAAACTGTTGTTCTAGTTATTTTTTGCTAAATTAAGAAAGATTATTGAGTATAGAGATGTTGCCATTGTTGTCACTGTTTTATTCATCACTAAGTATAAGGGTAGTTTTTTTTTCAGTTTAGAGAGAAAGTGCCATGGGGTGGTGGGAGAACTGAGTGTATGTGTGTGTGTGTGTGTGTGTGTGTGTGTGCACGAGCACGTGTACTTGTATAATGAATCCCATTCTCTTCTCTCCCATTCCCTTCTCTCCCATCCTGACAGTCATTTGTACCATTTGTCTCTCTAATTCGGAGTCCATAGCCGTATTAAGAATGCGCTCGTAATCGGGGTCAGTGGCCCACTCTGAGTGCCTAATCAGAAGAACTCTGGGGGATACAGCCAGTGACCTCTGCTGCGCATGAGCAGGCTGCTTGGAGGTGAGAATTAAGGAGGAAGGCGGGACTCCTCCCCTGTGAGCTCCAGGTTCCTGGGGAGGACTAGGCTGTACATAGCATCTTGTTTAGGAGGCTGTTGCAACCTGGTAAATGTCAGAGGCAAAGGTGCAGACTTTCCTGGTATGCTTTCCGGAAGACAGTGGGTAAAATTAGATTCTCGCCATCGGGGAGGTGGGAGGGTGGTGTGCGTAGGCCAGAGCTATTGTGTGCCTGACCATGTAGGCCTTTACTTTTCCTTCTTACTTCAGGCGCTTACTTGGTAAAATTGCTTAAATTAGAGTGAACCTTCTGTGTGCAGCTTCCTCCCGTACCCAGCAGAGGTGTTTCTGCTGTCTTCAGAGACTATTCGAGAACATCCTCCTCGTTACAGGGGCTGAGCACTGATGCCTGGAGGAAAAGCCTGAGTCAGGTATTTCTGTTCCTCATGTGCCAGAGGTGTAGGCGAAGCCCTTGGGAGGTCCTTGGTCAGGTCTCAATTGTGTCTGAATAGGGGGGTTCACGGCCTGCTCAGCGGGGCCGTTCACCACCATGACCTTCATCCTTCCTTGGGAGAAAAGTACAGAGCAAGTGGCAGATGGTAGAGTAGCTTATGCATCTGCAGGAGGGAGGCTTACAGTCCTGGCCACGCTTGTTCACATTCCCTGTTTTGTGGTATTCTGTCTTCTCCTGCCACGAGGGCGGGGAGCTTCTCTGTCCTGTGCCTGCTGCTTCCTCAGCCCCTAGAAGGCGGGAGAGCGTGCAGCTTGTGATCAGTAAACACCAGCTGTGCAGGTAGATGACTGCAAGTCGTTACTTGCTTTCTTCTCCCTTCCAGACTCAAGTACTGTGAGGGCGCAGGTAACACATGACTTTCTGTGGCTCTGCGAGCCCTAGAACAGTGACCCAGGGGACAGACACAGCTTTTTTCTTTTCTTTAAAGGACAATAGCCATTTGATGTTTACCACTTCGCAGATGGCAGAAATTACTTTCAAATCGCATAGCCTTAACCAAGAGAAGATAATTTAGGCAAAGTAAGGATTGACCCCACCTTTGAAGGAAAGACCCTTAAGGAAAGTTTTTGCTCCATGATTGTTTCACAAGGGAACGAATTTAAAGTCACTATTACTGCGTATGAGTGTTTGGACCATGTGTTAGTCAGTGACCTGCTATGCCTTACAACAACCCACATCTCACGGTTCCTGTGGGTCGGGAGTCAGCACAGCTTAGCTGGACTCTGTTTTGGAGCTCTTGAGGCTGTACCTAAGGTGGCGATCAGGGCTTAATTCTTACATGCAGGCTCAAGTGGGGAGCAACCGGCTTCCAAGCCCCCTCGTGGGATTGGCTAAACCTGTTTCCTTGTGGTGTAGGACGGAGGCTAACCAGGCTGACCTGGAGGCCGCGCCCAGGTCCACAGGACTCCTGCAGCCTGTCCTGTGGGGACTTTCCCAGCTTGGCTGCTTGCTTCCTCAGGCCAGGAAGGAGCGGCTGCCAGTGCATGGAGCCTTGTCTAAGGCAGCCAAGCAGTGAGAGCTGTGTCCTGACCTTTGCCGTGTTCTTTGGGTCCAAGGCAGGCTGCAGGCCCCACCCACACAGGAATCACAGGAGACGGGGTCCTGGGGCCACCTCAGTGGCTGCCCAACGCAGATCATCTTTCCAAGCCTCTTAGAGGGCAGATTGACAAGTGAATCTCATCGGAGCTCTATTTTTTTTTTTTTTTTTTTTTGGTTTTTCTCCGGTACCAGAAACCGAACTCACAACCTTGCGCATGCCAGGCAGGCGCTTTTGCCGCTGAGCTAAATCCCCAGCCCGGAGCTCTATTTTTTTGAAAAATTATTTCCATCCATTTTCCTACAGTGGTCCTGATTTGAAATCTCTTAAGGGTCACAGTACCACGTCTGTTTTTTCCTCACCCAGCACATGTCCCTGGGCTGTCACTGAGCCACTGGCTGGTACCAGGCTGTCTCAGTTACTTTTCTTGTTGCTGAGATGAAATACCCAACACCCAAAGTTAAAAGGGAAAAGGTTTATTTAGCTCACAGTCTGTGGAGGTTTCAGTCCATATCAGCTGGCTCCGAGGCAGAGTGGCACATGGCGGAGGGCAGCAGTTCATGGCAGCAGAAGACAGCAAAAGCAAGTGAGAGTGAGGAGAGGGGAACAAGCCTCTTTCTGCCTCTTTATCTCATCCAGACTGCTGAGATTAGGGCGGTGCCAATCTAAACAGCAGAGTGATCCAGCAGTCACCCAGCCTTAATCCCAGCATTGCACTATGAATCAGTCACAACGCTAGAGTCAGCTACCTCCAAAAAACCCTGCCCCCTATGACTGCATGAGGCTTTGGGAGGACATCTGTACACCAGCCACAACACAGGCTGTCTCCAGATACCCAGTTATACTTATGGAGCAGAGTGGGTTACATTGCTGTTTGCCCGCTACCTTAGGATCCAGCTGTGGTTTTGTCACATTGTGTGGCAAACTGTAGTTTGGAGTTTTAAATGACTTGCTCAATGATGAATGTACAGAAGATGAGATATCCTCACAGTAGGTTTTTCTGTGGCAATGGGGACTCTAGAAGGTTTTATTTAAGGCATGAATTGATATGTCTGTTTTCAGTCTTCAAGAATTCAATCAAGGAAGCCAGGGTGCCTATAATCCAGCTACTCAGAAGCATCACAACTTTGAGGCCATCTTGGGCAATTTAGAGTGACCCTATCTCAAAATAAAATTAAGAAAAGACAAGACTGGGGATATAGCTCAGGGGGAGAGCTCTTGCCTAGCATGGGTGAGGCCCTGGGTTCAATCCCTAGTACCTAAAAAGAAAAAAAGGCTTTATTCTAGGGACATAATGTCATGGCAGAGTGTGTGCCTAGCACCCGTGAGGCCCTGGGTTTGGTTCCCGAACACCATCAAAATAAACGAACAAAGAGCGAAGTGCCGTACAGAACAGTCTGTGCTCTCTCTGGTTCTCAGATTGGAGTCTAGTCATCATAAAGCAGTAACTGGAAAGGGGCACTGGTAATTCACATGCTTAAGGTCTGACGCATGTGTGGAGAGGCTTTGGAGCCAAGTAGGGCTGGGTTCTGGAGTGACATCTGTGGGTATGGTGTTGCACGGAGCCTTGCGCTAACTCAGAGCAGATAGCACAGCCGTGATGGCACCTCCTGATCCTTTGAAGGAATTTCAAGCCGGTCGAATCACATTTTTCCCTGAATTTGAGGCTATTCTGTTTCTGCCTGCTGCTCTACGTATATTACACAAAGAGGGAACCTCCTGGCTGGGAGAATAGAGCAGGTAGTTGTTGAGAACTAGACAGGCAAGGTGGTGGGTGGCCTGTGCCGCAGGCTGTGACATCTCTTTCAGACTATAAATGTTTTGCTTCTGCGGTGAAAGTCTGAGATTTTGGCCTCCAGTGAAGTGTGGTTGTGAATAGGGCAAGAAGACCTACCATAAAATGTGGCATTTCCTGCTTGGGGATTATTCGAGCACAACGTATACTGAGGAGATAATTCCCATGGTAACCGAGATTGTGTGTGTGTGTGTGTGTGTGTGTGTGTGTGTGTGTGTGTGTTCTCTACCTTGGGGCTCTTAGAAGAAAACACAGGATTGGGAACACGTGGCAAGTGAAGAGTAGGTTAAGGCATTTGCTTGTGCCAGGGTGCTTTATTCGTCAGATTAAACTGTCTTGCTGAAAGACAGACATTGCTCTGTCACTGAGGAGAGCCCGAGCCTCAAGCAGTTGGAAGTCAGTGGACCCAGTTTTCCTTCTAGTATCTTTCACAAGATGACCAGAGTAATAATCTCAAATTTGTGTTTTGTAGATACCCTTAGTTTAAAATTTTTACCTCTAAGTAGGGGTAAAATTGGTCAAACAGGGCTCCCTTAAGAGGCCATTCCACCCAGCCCTGTTTAACAATTGTCTGTCTGTCTGTCAGTCTCTCTTCACTTCCCTTTTTCTCTTTATCCCTCTGTCCCTTCCTCCTCCTCCAGCCACCAGCTTTAAATTAACCTGTGAACCTTCCTTTTTAAACAAATCCGTCCTGTGGCACTCACATCGGCATCTGCAGTGCAGACCTGCACAGGAGATGTTGGCTTTTCCCTTCAGTTCCTCCTCTCTTCCGGCTGAGACTCAGAGAAGCGTCTAGAAACACAGTTGGGGGGCCTGATGCTGGCTCCTTGACTCTCGGCTCTTTTTCTCAGTCCAGTAAATAATAGTCGAATACTGACAATTTCATATGATTAACTTGATTCTATAAAAGTATTATTTAATATTTAACTCAAATTAATATGTGGCCGTGGCTTATAGCCTTTCCAAGCTGTCCTGTGACTGGAGGGTGTGGGGTGGGGTACTACAAGGAGATGGTAGCGTTTCCTTGTGCCTTTCTGGGTCAACTAGGTGAATTACTTCCATTTTGCTTTTAATTTTGGAAATTTCCAAACAGACACCAATATAGAGAAAAGCACAGCGAAACTCCATGTACCAGGAACTCCTCATTGCCAGCGTCTCCTAGGTAGACTGTTGAGATGGGCTGAGGGACACATGTCAGAGGAGCTGTGCACGCCCTGGAACCCAAACATTACGTTATTCACGTGTCCGCACACGGGGCCGGGCAACTCCCGAGGGCTGGTGGGAGCACCGCCGAGAGACGTGAGTAATCTTTACTCACATCCTGTTGGCTTAAGCAGAGGAAGCATGTCTTGGGTTTTAGCCTGTGTATGAAGGCACACTTGATAGTTCTTCCCCTGCCTTCTTGTTTTCCTGTCATTTTCCAGTTTGGGCAAACAGCATCACAAGGGCTCGAGTGTAGTCTGCTAGACTAACTTAAGAGTATCTGTGGCAAATCCCGGGTGCATAAAGACCCCAGTGACAAGACCCAGAGCTGACAGGGGTGAGACAGAGACAGCTGACCCTCCAATTATAATTGAGTTCTATTTTTCTTCATAATTCACTTTTTAAGAGACAGTCTCACTGTGATGCCCGGACTGATCTTGAACTGCCGGGCTCAAG